AATAATATCTTTTCCCCAACCTTTTTTCTTTTTCTTTATTTTTTTTGTCCCCCCCCCCCACCATCCTTTGTTTGTTTATACAACTTTACTCCCGTGGAAGCACCTTACCAAGTTCCTCAGAAAGACGCATTTTAAACAGTTTTCGGAAGAATGGCACCGCCTCACCGCGACGAAGAATGAATTCACCAGATGCTATTTCCCTTGGAATAACGATTGGTATATTTGGCTTGGAACCACTACCATTACCACCACTATTACTAGTACCAGTACTAGTACTATTCGTATTCATATCAATGCAGCGTCCACCGTTATTGTGCGGTTGTGTCAGTGGACGACCTCCTCCTCCTCCTCCAGTACCACTACTGTTGCTGCTGCTGCCAGCCCCAGTAGCGGTAGTCGTAGTATTATTATTATTATTATTATTATTATTATTATTATTATTATTAACACCGCTGTTCATACTACCACGCTGTACAGCATTGGTCGTACCAGGAAGTGCTTGAGGACAAGAGGGAGCAGCTGCAACAGCAGCAGTTGCTGTTGTTGTTGCTTCCACCATAGCAGAGTTTTCATTCCTCTTATGACTCTTATTCTCAGCCCCACTGCTTTTACTACTCATGATGGTGGTTTGGATAGCAGGTGTGAGAACCCCAGTGGGGGTTTTGACGGTGGCTGGGGATGCCCGGGTGTTGTTGTTGTTGTTGTTATTATTACTATTACTACTACCACCACTACTTCCCCACCCAACCGTTGGGGCAGAAGTAACCTGTACACGTTGAAGCTGTTCTGCTGAAATAGACGCTGGTGAGGATGCCTTCAATTTCCCAACAAGATCCGCCAAGCGAATACCACCCGCCCCTGCACTCATAGTTACAGCTGCAGAGGGTGAGGCCGCCATGGTAGAAACCTCTTCTAATGCACTGCGTGGTTTTGGAATGGCGGGACCCGCATCGGTGGTTGTGGGGGATGACCCTTGAAAAACTACCTTCTGCTGATCCGGTTGTTGTTGTTGTTGTTGTTGTTGTTGTTGTTGTTGTTGAGTTTTTAGCATGAGTGCCTTGAGAAGAGAAGTACCAGATGTTTCCGTTTCCGCTGCTGTTCCTGTAGTTCCTGTTGATGTTGATGTTGTGGTTGATGTGATTGGCAGCATTGCTGCTGCACTCGTATCCTCTCCTGGTTTCTGCAGCACCAGCAGAGATGCCAACTTCACCAATGCCCCTCGTGGTTGTTGCAGTCGCCCATCAAAGCGACTCCCACCGGTGAAAGGCTCATCAAACACCACCTCCGCCTCATGACTGGTGGCTAACAAACGAACAACGGTTCCCACCGCACCAAACGGCACACAACCCGCCGCACGACAATTCACTACACGTGCGCCCAAACAAAGTGTCTGATCTTGCGGTAGTGGCAGTTGTAAGATGTGTCCACCTACACTGCGGGTGATGGGAAAGTACAAGTGTCGCTTCACAACAGGCCGAAGAGTGAGTTCCCGCACACGTCGCGGGGTGTGACGATCGAGTTCCGCCTCCAATTGACGTAAATGTTCACGTGTGAAGGCATCATCACTTGCGGTCACTAAAGGTACATCGCGTATACCACAAGCCTCAATAAAAGATTCCATCTCGCTAAGAACATCATCCACTTCCCTATCTTGCCAAATACCGGTCATGAATTGCGGTGGCTCCAATGCCTGTGGGGCTGCCGCTCCTGTTTCCAGTCGTTTAATGAGTGGTTGGAACTTGTGTACATATTCCTTAATCAGCGATACCGCCTCACGGGAGAACCATGTGGTGTACTGCACTGCACGACTGGAACGGCCAAGAAAATCACTCTTGCTGGCATTTTCAAGATAATGTCCAGCCGGTTCAGTGCTTTGTGCGAGTCGTGAAAATACATCATCGCCGTATGGTGCCCAGGCGTTGGTTTGTCGTGGTACAAGCTTTGCATATCCCAATCGTGTGAGATGATTACGTGTAAAGACGATACCCAAACCCACTTCACGGGATCCATACTGTGGTGTGGTGCGTAGAGATCCCACAAGGAGTCGTAATGGTAAAGATCCCAATCGCATTTCACTCGCCACTTCATGTAATGCCATCCAATTACGAGGTGTGGCATAAGATAAAAGAGATGCGGGAATCGTCAAGGGATCTTGATAGACTCGGATCGCCACAGCGTACATATCCTCACCATAAGAGGTGGAGTCTAGGACGAAACCAGCACTACCATATGCCTGCATAGGGGTTTTCTTATTCTTTGGTTCTGGACCAATAAAAATAACTTTAGCCCCAAAACTTGTATCCCCTTCTGCACGATCTCGCTCCACATATCGTGCATCCTCTATCATGTTTACATCCTGTAATCTTGAAATAAGGGGCATCGCATAGCACATTTCATCTTTTGAAAAGTTACGCACAATCCGCCCCTTACGTGTCACACGCATACCAGTGAAGATATTTACATATACCAACAGAGAAACACTATCCACAGAAATACCTAATTTCTCCTTCATATACTGTTTATGTGTTTCACACTCCCGTGTAAAGTTAGATGAGTCATCACGGTTTAACTCCTTCGCCTCACTACCACAGAAGGTACCATCCTTTGTTATCACCGCACGGAAACTCATAAATCTATCACTAATACACGCAATACGTGCACGACGGTAGTGTGGAAATCCAACCAATACTTCCTGTCCAACAAGTGGGGCCATATCACGTGCACTAGCATTTTCCATCATAGTATCATTTAAAGCGAGAATGATACTCTCCTTACGTGTAGGCATTCCAAAAATGCTCACCGCACCGGTTTCACGTTGTACACGGATATTATTCCACTTACTGTGAAGTGTCGCAAATCCTTCTAACATCTTATCCCCAATCGCCACACCTGGACAGAGTTTTGGCACAAAATGAACAAATGGTGGAAAATCATATGGTTGTCGTCGCACTCGTACATTCTTTAATGGTCCAAAGAATTCATTCGGTACCTCATACTGCTGCATCTCAGCATCGAAGGTGAAAATCACAGGCGTTCCAAGCGTATTGTGTGCCTGATCCTCAGGTGTCACCTTATCTTGAACAGAATTATACGCCGCTAGTAGTGTGCGTTCGTCGATAAATGGAATGAGCACAACACCCTCCCACGGTGCTCGTGCCCCTTCACGATCAATCTGTAGATGCTCTGGAAAGTATTTGGCGAGTGGACTCGACTTACTACGGAGCAGTGGCCAATACGCACGTGGGATAGAACGGTATGATAAGGGTGGTAACACCGCTAAGAGTTGTTGATGCGGTAGAAATGGTTTACCAAGATCAAAGTGAACCTTTGCAGCCACCGCAGGAAGATTTACCAAATCACTTGCCATAGGAGCATAGTGATGCGGGAAGAACCACTTCCATGAGGGTGGTCCATTATAGTAATATCCAAATACCCACATAATTCCTTCCACATAATGAAGTCGCAGATCGCTCATTTCTTTTCCTTGTGGATCCCATCCATTCGCAAAGCCGTGTTTCTCACGGTAGAAACGATCCTTATACTCATGCAAAGATTCCACCGCGGTGGATGCAATCACTGTTGCCTCATGGGAAGGATCACGTCTTGCCATTTTACGTTGATACTCCTGCTCTTGTGCCTCACGGGCTTTAATAGTGGTAAACTCAATCTCTGCAAGTCCCTGCAACCATAACTCTACGGCACGCCAATCTATTTTCCCATTCTCTGTCAAGTACATAGAGTGTAGTAATATACGCTGACAGTACACATCCAGCATTTGCACAAGGCTTCCATCATGAATGCCAAGCGTTGGAATACTTGGTAAGAAGTCATTCCCAACAAAGAAGCACATTAATACAAAGTCATCCAAGACACGTTCCAAGTCATAAATGGGTGGCAACTTGGCCCCAAGTCGATCACGCAAATCAAGATCAAGATAATCACGCAGTACATTCACATGAAAAAGCACAAATTCATCAGCTTTATGATAAGACTTATCCGCAACAATTCCATTTGCCTCATCCTCCTCTCGCTGTTCACGCACACGTCGTGATTCATTTCCAGCCCCAAATGTCACCACCTCTCGCAAAAGAAGAAAATGTGGTTCATGAGTGGCAAGTGCAAGCATGACAAGATCAGCGTCTAATCCATACATGCAATGAGACTCATTTGGATCATACCCCGGCTGCATCTTACGGCGACGAATAAAATCCACAATCTTATGTTCTCCCTCACCAGGGTGATTGTGTCCAGAGTAGATCACCTTGCAGTTTTGCCACGCCGGGTCAGTGGCAATCTTCATGGTGATAAAGTACTGCAATTGTTCACTCACCCGCACCATGAAATTCGTGCCAGGGGTGATACAGTTGCTGTCAAACACATCCTTCTCATCTGGCAATTCCTCACCGCGGGCAAGAGCCTCCTCACGTGCTACCATCATATCATATGCACTGCGGTAACGGCGTTGTCGCTGCTGGTTCATCTTGGCCCTCGGCGCCACGCCATCAATAGCCAACAGAAAATGTTTACGTGGTTGAATAACATTAAAAAGTTTCTCAAGATAAACAAACATAGCCTCAACCATGGCCTTTTCCGTTGCGGATTTTTGTGTGGCATCTACATCATTTGGATGTGTGCAATTGTGAATAATGCCATTCATGTCTAGATATAGATTGTCAACAGGCGGTGGGCAATCACGGAATGGGGTGATAACAGACGGGCAGCGCTCTGCCACCCATCGAAAGAACTTTGGAACACCCATATGTGTTTCTTTCTTCTTGTCGCTTTTTCTTCTTTCTTTTCCTTTTTTTTCTTTTCTTACTGTTTTGTATTTTTTCCCCCACTCTTTTTTTTTTTTAATTTACTTGTAGTTTCCCTCTCTTCGTTGTCTATTATAACTCCGTCCCGTTTCCCTTCTCTTCTCTAGCTCTTGTGTTCTTCTCCTCCTCCTTCACACACACACACAGACACAGAGACACAGACAGAATCTCTCTCTCTCTCTTTCCTTCTGTTCTCTCTTCCTCTTCTTCTTCCCTCTTTCGCAGTTAAATGAGGGGATGTTTCCTTCTTGTTGCTGCTGCTGCTCTTGTTCTTCTTTCTTATTCTTTTTCGTTTCTTGTGGTTCCTCTTCTCTTTGTTATGACTCTGCACCGCCTCCTGACAGTTATCGAATCCTCGACACAGATAACAAAGAAAAGACAGAGAAGCACACACACACACAGAAACAAACAAACAAACGCCCCTTTTTTCTTTTTTCTTCTCCTTTCTTTTTTTTTTTTTTGTTCCTCCTTTAGGGTAAAACAAAAACAAAAAAAAAGACTTTCACACACACACACACCTACTGTGTCTTATCAGTCCGTGTGCGTGCCACGTCGGTCGTACTCTTTTTTTTTTCCCTCTTCTTGTCTTTGTTGCTGCTCGATTTCTATTTTTTCTTTCTTTCGTTTCGCTATCAAGCGCTTGACAAAAGAAAGAAAAAAAAAAAGAAACGATGTGCGACAGATGAGGTGGGATGCAACCCCAAAGAAAAATCTTTCGAACTCTTGTAACTCTAAACAATAAGAAAAAGAAAAGAGAAAAAGCAAAACATATATACAATTCCATGTAGAGCAGAGAAAGAATGAGAAACATATGTATAGATAAATGAGAAATACAAGCCCAGACACACACATGGACACAGATACAGACTGACTGATAGACAAAAAGAGAGAAAGATATATGTACTCTCATCAAGAAAATGGAACATGGGGGAAAGGAAAAAAAAAAAAACAATAGGAATAAAATGATCCATGTACACGTGTAAATGTATGCGTGTAATTACTTGCCTTGGATTTCTTTTTGTTTTTCTTTTTTTTTTTTGGTTATTTGCTCATTCATACTAGATCCATCGACTCAAAGAAAGACGAAAACAAAGCAAAAAAAAAGACTGAGCAAAGAAGATAAAAGGCATGAAAGAAAAGAGAGAAAGAGGAAAAAAAAAAGACAAAGGTATGAAACGCAGCCTTCGTCCTCTTCTCTCCTAATTGGCAATCCCTTTTCGTCCTCACACCACTTCACTCCATATGCCTTATAGAAACTTTCTCCTCTTCTTTTTCTTTTCATTTCCCCTTCTTCTTTCTTTCTTTCTTTCTTTCCTTCTTTCTTACTTTCTTTCTTCTTTGATTTCTATACATCACTCATAATATAGAATACACATACACACGAAACAAAGTATATATATATATATATATATATATATATATATATATATATATATATATACATATATATATATATACGTATATATACGCACACACACTTCCGAGTATATTGGTATACATGTATTTATGTAATATTTGTATTATATACGTACATAGACAGAAATATTCCTCTAAGCCATAGATGCTGGTGTCTCATTAAATCGCACAGAACGCTTTTCAACAGGCACCGCTTCATCCACTGTATCTCTATTCTCCGTCTCACGCGGGAGACGCCGTTCGCCGTTGCCATCCTTCTCTTCACTTGCCATACGATCTGCCTCCATACTCTCCATGGCAGTTGCCCTTGTGGTTTCCTTTACGGCGCTTCCTTGATGTTCACATGGGAAGGCGGGTGCCTTGGCGTGTCGACGACCCACAATGGTGCTGTTTGGCTTCACTGTGCCAGTGCGTGTGAGGGAGTGCTTTACGGTGCAGTTGCGTTGATTGATGGTGTTGGCATCCCGTGCGAGATCCATGGTGTAGTCACCGACCTGATACACCTCCGCACAGTGACAGTGTCGTCCACCCGCGGTGCCGCGATTATACGCACGCGGACGATAATCACTGCTGCGCATTGGCACAAAGTCACTGCGTACATCCCGCGCCCCCGTTGAGGGTTCACTCGGCCGCAGCAGAAATGAAATGTGACTCATTGGTGTAAAGTCATATCCAGCCTGTGAAAGCACCGGCGGTGGACAGGAGGCGTACAATACCTGCGGTGCAAATGTACGTGGAAGCGTCTTGGCAGAGGAGGATTGCGACTGCGACTGTGATTGTGTATAATGTCCATGCTCATTCACAAGCGGCCGCAATCGTGGCAGTAGTCGTGTGCGACTCTCCATCGCCGCCGCTGCCGTTACCCCGCGGAAAACGGAATTTGGATCATATGTTCCCACACACGCGAGGGTTGCCGCGTCGTTGGGGTTCCGCCGTGCGTACGTGTCAAAGCCGCCCGTTGCGAATTGAATGCGTCCCTTGAGAAATCCCCACTGCGTGCGATTGGCGTCCTCCACGGCGTCTAAAGCATCGCGGTAGGTGGCGCCTTTTGGGAGTGCGTGTGTGGTCCACCGTGCGAGGGCGTGATCGCGTGCACTGCTGACACTACCGCCCTGCACATTCGACTGTGTGCGGGTGCTGCGCAGATGTTGGCTGACGCTGGCTGGCAGCCCGGCCATCGTGTAGCCCTTCTTGCGGAGTTCCTTCTTCGGCGGCAGCAGCAGCAGGGCGTAGCTGATGGGCACAGACTCCGACATGTCCTTTGTAGAAAACGTTGCGGGTAACATTGGAGGAAAAAAAAAAGGGGGGACTAAGAGTAGAAAAGAAAAGAAAAAAAAGAAATGAGGTGAAAAGAAAAGAATGAGATTTTTTGTTTTTCTTTTTTCTGCGTGCGTGTGTGTGTACAGATGAGATAAAGGGGGGAGGACAGGGAGGACAGGTAGGAGAAGAAAGAAGAAGAAAAGATTGGAAATAAAAATAAAAGTCATGTGTTTCCCTCTTAGTTGTTGTTACTGTTATTCCAGTCGTTGATACTGCTTTCTCTTTGGCGTCTTCCTTCTCGCCCACCTTTTTTTTTTTCTTTTCTTTTCTTTCCCTGTCTCTCTTCTTTTCTTTCTTTGCTCCAAACTGTCAACTGTGGAATATCAGGAAGAGAGAAAGTCAAGTATAAATAAATAAATAAATAAATAAATAAATAAATAAATAAAAGAAAAAAAAAAAACGATTCGTCTATGGATGTGGGGTTTCTGTAATTTGAAGCCATCTATGCAATCCATCCCACACATGACGGTGGGAAAATGGCACAGCAGCCACCATCCACTGCAGCCGTACACGATACTTCCCAACACGTCCAAGAAGGAGCAATACAGTCATTAACGCCATATATATATATATATATATATATATATATATATATATATATATTAAAAGAGAGCTTCTATGTCAAATATATTAATTGAACCACCTCCATTCTTTTTACGAGTTCCCACATGAAGTGGAACCACATCCACGTTTTCTTCTTCTCTTCCCATTCCTGGTGTTGTTGTTGTTGTTGCCGTTGTTGTGGTTGTACGTGTGGGTCCACGTCGTCTCGGCTTTGCTGTTCTGTTAGATCGTTGTTGATGTTGTTGATGATGTTGTGCTGTGGCGTCAAAGACGTTAAAGCGAGAAGCACTTAATCGTGTTGTTTCCGCTGCCGCTGTGGCTGTATCTGGAATAATGTCATCTGCGTCTATGGCACGTGTAGTGGCAAGCACCGAATTCCTATGCCCATTCCCCGCCATCTCTGCGGCATTTTCCATCTCTACAGTCTCAGAACACACTGTTAGTTGTTGTTTCCGAAAACACTTTCCACCCAACGCAGTACCATGACTACCATTAGCAATCGTATTAACAGGATAAGAAGAAGAGAGAGTACTGTATGGCTGGAAGCATGGATACGACGGTAGTGTAGGTGAACCCGATACAACGAGATCTGCGGTAGTAGTAGTAGTAGTAGTAGTAGTAGTAGTAGTAGTATTAGTATCAACAGTACCATCGACATCTGTGTGTTCTCGTGTAATCCAACCGTTCATGTTCTCTTCTTCACTGTTTGGCATTCGTCCATCACACCCTTCATCACTCTTCTCACGGCCGTTATGTTGATGATGATGATGATGATTATTATTATTATTATTATTATTATTATTATTATTATTATTATTATTATGATCCATCTCTGTATCACTGTGTGTTTCGCGGAAGAGTGGGTTTGGGTCGGTGCGTCGACCAGAAGGACTATTTCCTGTACGCCTACGTTTTGCCCCAGCCGTTTTTTTTTCCGTTGCTTTTGAGGTACACACCACTTCACGTTTTATCTCTCGTACTTCTTCTTCTACTTCTTCTTTTTCTTTCTGCTGTGGTGGTGGTGGTGGTGGTGGTGTTTGTTGTTGTTGTTCTTCTTTTTCTTCTTGTCGAGATGGTAGTTCCTTCGCTCCTTTGGTTTCTTTCACCTCTGTTATTGTTGTTGTGGTTGTTGTTATTGGTTTCCCCAAAGGCGGTTCCAGTACCAATGGTGTAATACACACGATACTCTTCACAAGCTGAAGATACTCCACACACCGCAGTTTATGTGTTTCCTGCAGTATACGCACACAGTGGCGGAATGGTAATCGTTCACGACGATTGTACAATATAATATGACTATGATGAGAGGCCGCAAAGGACTGCAGAAGTGTCTCTCGTTGGGTTTCGTCATTCCCCACATCTTGTAGAGAGAGATCCAACTGTACTTGTGCCTGTGTGTATGGGAGGAAATTACACACCTCCGCATATAAGGAACGTTGAAGGACTATAATTATACGACCAGCGAAGAGTGTACGGCGGTTATTTCTATTCGCTGGAAACAACAATAATTGTTGTTGTTTGTGTGTTTGTGTTTCTGTTTGTGGATTATAAGCAAGATCTTCTTTTTCCCACAGAGTGGCCCAGAAGGGATCTAACATTGGTGCATATGCCTGTGGATCTAACAATATTCCTACTCCACTCATACTTCCATTCATTTCCCCTTCTTTTTCTTCTTCTTCTTCTTCTTTACTGTTCTTATCACCCCCACTATTATTATTATTATTATTATTATTATTATTATTATTATTATTATTATTATTATTATTATTATTATTATTATTATTATTATTATTATGCGTCTTGTTGATATTTCCGAGTGCCTCCACGTACGCGGGTGTCACGATAGGGGCAGAACGGCACAACATGGCAATTCCAACGGCTGTGGGTGTCAACAGCGGCGTGACGAGACAATTCGCTTGTGTATAGTCCCCCACCACACACGCACAGCAGCGACGAACACTACACTGCAGTTGTGTCTTCTGTTCTTCCTTTACAATACCGAGAGAAAAGAGACGCAGTGGGGTCCATCGCAATTGCAATAACACGGGTTGCGTTGGTGGATGTGTTGTTGTTGTTGTTGTGGTAGTTTCTGTGGGTTGTGTGCCAATGTGAATAGTGAAATGCCGCCAGGTGAAGTGTTTGCGGGGAGTGCGAAAAGATTCACCACGTGAGAGGCGAGATCGTAACAGTGGACGACGGCGGCATATTTGTAATGTGCGTGTGGCCGCAGGACCATCATCCATGTTGTGACTACGCACACTATTCATACTACTATCACTATCACTATTACTATCACTACTAGTAGTAGTATGTGTATGAGTACTACTCGTACTACTACTTCTGCTGTTGTTATTATCTAAAGAAGAGGCGCATACTTCTGTCCCGTGTGTGGAGGTGTCTGTGATGATGACACAGGGTCTTCTTTTTAAATCCCGTGTGTTTTTTTTCTCTTTCTGTTCACTTTCTTTTTCTTCTTTTTCTTTTTCTTCTATCTGCAGTGTGAGATGTTTGCGACTAATGCTGGCATTGCCTGTGAGTATAATGTCGCAGTCTCCTCTTCCCACCGTGTATACTTTGCCCCGCACCAGACAACAGCAGGCACGTCCATTCACATACACAATCCACATATATATATATATAGACTAAATGTATGTTGTAGACAGACGTATATGTTTACACTGTCTCTTCACTCAGAGATGTGTTTTATGTTCTTTTTTTTCTTTTCTTTTCGTTTATTCCCTTTTTTTATGGTACAGTAGTGAATTACAGTGTGTTTCCTTTCGCCTTGAAAGGAAGAACTGTAAAGCCAGAAAAAACACCATGTATAATAATAATAGTAATAACAATAACAATAAGAGTGGAAAAGAAAAAAAAAACAAAAGGAGAACAACAGTACAAACGAAGAGGAATACACAACTAAAACAAAATAAAAAAGCCTCATATATATTTATTGCGCATGATCCTTTTCTTCTTTTCGTTATTTATTTATGTATTGACGCATATAATTAAGAAGAATATACGCCCACCACTACGGCAAAAAAAAAGAAATATATATCTATATATAGATATATAGATATAGAAATAGAAAAACAAAAAAAAGAAAAACGAAAAAAAAAAATCACTACTTCCATTCCCATTCATTTTTCTTTTTTGATACCTGTTACTTTCATCACGTATAAGCAACCTTAGACAAAGACTCACTTCACTGTTTTTTTTTTTTTTTTGCTTCTTTTACTTTACTCAGAAGCATACTTTCCCCTTTTTCCCTTTTCCCCCGTTCATCTCCCGTATAGTATTGATATTGTGTAATGACTGTTGATTCACTTCCCCCTCCCCCTTTTTTTTTATGTTTTCCCTCCTCTCAATCCCAAATACATCACAATAGCGATAACTACAAAAAAGGATCCTGCAATACAAATATTAAAGCCAAGCCAAATCATCTGCAGAGTGTCTGGTGTTTCCACTGGACATTCACTGAACTGCGAGATACAGCTATCATAACTCATGCATCCTTCACTACAGTACTGCACCTCCCTTTTATTATTAATATTATTATTATTATCATTGTCATTAATATCCCTCCCATACGTACGCATAGAGTACATCCTGCTGGTATTCACCTTCTCCGCTTTCTTCATATTGGGAATATCTGGGAAGAAACATACCTTCTTTGGATCTTTGGGGCGGCTGCAGAATACACCGCCGCTGTTCACACAACTTGAACATGTGTTCTCCTGCACAAAACAATCTGGAAAAGACATGCAGGCAACACCGCAACTGCAGTTAAATGATAATTGACATGTCATGTCTGTCGGACACCATTGCATGTTATCACGTAACGTACATCTGGAGCATGTGGAGATCATTCCAGCATCCAACACCGCCTCTGCTAATAATATTCCCATTCCTCCTCCTTCTTCTTGTTGTTGTTGTAGTGACAATAATAATAATATGAATAGTTGTAGTAGTAGTAGAGGAAAGAAAAGGAATTGCCGCATTGGATTTGTCAGACAATCCCTCCGCTCCTTTTTTTTTTTATTTTTTTTACTACTATATATATGTGTGTGCGTTTGTTGTCAGTGTTGTTGAATTATCACGATGATGATGATGATGATGTGAAAGAAGTTGAAAGAAATAAAGCGAAAGAAGATGGGATTTTGAGAAATATTCCAAGAGCCACTCTCTTCTACACTCCATCAGAGAAAACAGCTCACACACACAAACACAAACACAAATACACATACATATATATATATATATATATATATATATATATATATATATGTATATAGAGAGATACAGATAGATATAAACAAAGAAACAATGACGTACACACACCTTTGATTTAATTTTGTTTATTTCCATGATTGATGTAACCCCGGGGAGTGTGCAGACTGACACACACACACACATAGAGAGAGAGAGAGAGAGAGACACCAGTCTCATCTCATCCCCACTATAATCTTTTTATCGTCCTTTTTTTTTTTCTTTTATTTTCTTCACACTCCCATTCACGTTGTTGTTATTATTACTGTTCTTGGTGGTTTCCCCTTAGCGCCGGATTCCCCGCAGAGCCCCATTCACCGCCAAACGGTCTGCCATCACATTCCCATGCACACCGCTGTGGCCCCGCACATGTTCAAACCGCAATGCCAATCGTCGTGCGGCTCGCATGGCTGTTGTGTGCATTAAACCAAACTCCATCGTCAATCGGGCGGCGTAGCGTTCCTCGTGTTGTGTGCGCAGTGCCTGCAGTCTACGCCAGAGATCACTGTTCAACACCGGTGAGCCACTGATCGTTGTAAATTTACGTTTGAGCCAAAATGGCATGAAGATATTCGCCCCGCGTATCACATATGTGCTGTCACTATAGACATGCAGATTGTAACAACGCCGGGCCTGCAGGGCGGTCTGCAAAACGTGAATGACAGCGTACAACTCCGCGCGGTTGTTTGTTTGCGGCTCGTGATCCGGCAACGGTAAGGAGAAATTGCACAGGAGAGTATCCAGATCACTATTATTATTATTATTATTATTATCACTATTATTATTATTTCCTCCGGTTGTTCTTGGTACGTAGTAACCACCGTATCCACCACGTGCTCGTCCGGGTTCCGTCTTGCCGTTACTACGACACGCACCGTCCACATACACTTTCACCGCCTCTTCTTCTCGTGCACGCATCCATTCGATGGATATTCCATCCTCAATCAATGGCAATGGCCCCTCACTGTTGTTGTTGTTGTTGCTGTTGTTGTTGCTGTTGTTCTTATTATCGCTATTCTTACTGTTACTGTTACTCGTGTTGTTATTCATGTCATGGTGACTTTCTTCTCGGCTTCGCTTCTCTGCATGTGTATGTGTTCGCGGTGGGCATACATCTTTTTGAGAAGTATGTGTACACGCCGCCGGTACATCATCCACCATTGACGGGTTTACTGTATCCGGTAAAACCACCACCCGCTTATTCACTATTCCCTTATTCTCATCCATAAACTTCTGCGCATCTTCCTCTGTTGAAAAGGATTTAAAGCGGGCATGTGGGAAGCCTGAGACCTGCGCCTCACACTCACCCCACGTGTTGAAAATGCCTACAGTGCGGCCAACCGCCACAGCGTAGTATTTTTGTTTTGATGACCCTCCCATTTGTGGAGATAAATAGGATGATCCCACACCCTTCACGTAATGTACAGATTCCTCTACTTTTGCTCTCACTGAAAAAAAAAAGAAGTAGAACAAAAACAACAACAACAATGGAGATAAATCCATTCATATTAAAAAAAGATTAATAATAATAATAATAATAATAATAATAATAATAATAATAATAATAATAATAGGAATGGAAATAACAATAATAAACAAACCACCCACATACACATACATACACACACGGACGCCGATAAACAAGAGTCTTCTTTTTTTTTTTCCCCCGCTTCGCTAATAAGATACGGTAGGGTGTAATTCCCCGCGAATCTTCGCAAGCAAATCCATGACTGTTGCTAAAGTCACACGTCCCTGCGGTACTTTTGCGGCTGCCGTCTCCCACAGTGCCCCCTCACGAGCAGAGAGTTGTTCTTCCCACACCCGCAGTTCCTTTGCACGTTTATCCACAGACTCCGCAGCAGCCGTAATCCGTTTCATCTTCTCTCCGTACTTTTCTTGTTCACGGCGTAGGGTGCGTTCCCAGTTGATCAGAGACTCACGTTGTAGTCGTAATTCCGCCTCCCGCTGTTTACACGCCTCTTCTCGCTGTACCACTGTCAACTCCTTCGCTTGTACCGCACGGGCACTTTGTTGAATTCGCTCCACACGTTCCCGTGTATCTTGCAAGAAGAGTTCCTGCTGTTCATCTATTTCTTTTTCACGGGCCTCAATGTTGGCAGTCCGTGTGGTGAGAGATGCCCGTTCCTGCTGCAGCAACTCATCACGCTCCGCCAACTCCCGCTCACGTGCATCTAACGCACACTTCACCTCTTGCAATTGCTGTCTATATGTGTCGGTTACTATCTTTGGAGCCAATCGCTCCTCCTCTTGTTGGAGTTTTTCCTCCCGCAGTGTGAGTCGCTCCTCACGTGCGGCGGCCTCTCTCTCACGGCGGAGCACAGCCTCCTCTCGCAGCTGCAAATCCATCTGTCGCTTGCGTATCGCTCCAGATGATGACATCTGTTGTTTGGAAGGAGATGAGAGAGACGAGACCGGGTGTGTAGAGTCCTGTAATTGTTGTAATTGTAATTGTTGTTGTGGTAGTTGCAGGTGAGCAGAGGGAGAAGTAAAGGGAAGAGGCGTATAGATAGGAGTTACATCATGCCAATCGTAACTGGTCTTGAAAAGTCGCTCCTGCCGCCTATCAGGAGGACATGGACTCCCTTGTTGTGATTTCTTTCCACTCTCTAGTGTAGTTGAAGAACCCCCAACATGTAAGTGTTGCGGGGTATTAATGTTGTTACTGTTATTGGTATTGCTGTTGTTTTGTGCAGCGAAGAGCTCAGCTGCAACTCGCCAAGCAGATGATGAAATGGGAGAAGAAGAAGAAGAATAAACAGTTGTACCGTCATATTTGTTATTATTATTATCATTGTTGTTGTTGTTGTTGTTTCCTTGTGGTGATAGAGGAAACATAATCTGTGCAATAAACAATTTTCCCACCTTCTCTCTCCCTCTCCTCTACTATTGTTTTCTTCTGCCTTGTGTCGCTTGCACCAACGACTGCAGCAATAACAAACAACAGTAGGTGCAACAGAAATCAATAAGAGCAATAACAAGAGAGGAGAGGGCACTAATGCAAAAGAGTGCAAGATATTATGATGAGTTATACACAGAAATAAAAGCAAAAAAAAGCAAAACCTATAGTTTATACCCTCATAGCTTCGTTTTTTTTTTTTTTTTTTTTTTACCTTCAACTCTTAGCTGAATAAATATATGTATATATATTCATTTTTTTTATGTATTTATTCCTTCTTAACTCTCCTCGCTCTCTTAGTTTCTTACTCATCCCCCGTTCTCCACACTCAAAGAAGAGAAATAAGAAGAAATGAAAAGAGAAAAAGAAAAAAAAAACAAAAAACAAAAAACGAAAAAAAAAAAAAAAATACTCTTTGTGAGAGTATCTACTTACCATCATACACTAATTCTGTTCTCCCAGCTGCATAATCCCTGCCACAAAATCGCCATAGGGTATCTTGTTAACATCATTACCTTCGTCGCCTCCATTATTAGTAATATTAGTATTACTATTATTATTAGTACTACTACTACCACTACTAATACTACCATTGTTGCTCGTGGAAGCGATGATGTAACGGCAGAGATTTTCTGTTGCTCGCACACTACGAATACCTTCACTCTCCAAAATAGAATTAACAGCTTCAGCGCATGCATCCGCATAAACAAACGCACCACCATCACTCTCACGCAGAAGAAGAAGCAATAGTCGTTGTGCGAAGGGACGCACGGCGTGACACAACTCCACAGCCAAAGATATTTGCAATGAATGCGATTCACTCCTTCTTTCACGATGTGGAGACTTAACTCTACCTTTGGTTCCTCCTTCTGTAGTTAATGCTGTTCTCATTCTTCCTCTGAGTAGTGAAGAAGGTTTTAGCATTGCCACTGGGGGACATCCATTAGCACTATCATTATCATGATTATGATCAGTACCACTACCAGCACTGCTTCTTCTACTAGCACTACTACTACTACTACTTATTCTTCTATTAGTACCATTAGTAGTGGGTACAGTAGTATCCGCATTAGCAGTAGAAGCAACCACATCCAGTAGCTGACGCATACCACTTGGAGGTCTAAGAGGCAAACTATCTGCATCATCATTATTCCCACTTTCACCGCCTTCTACAGAGGTTTCACACACCGATTCAACAGAAGGAGGCCACGAGAGTGTACTCTGCTGCGCCGTTGACATCTGCAACTGCTGCGGGTTATTGTGATGATGGTTGTCGTTTGGAGCTAGAGAGCCATCAACACTACGGGGTGTGCCACACCATGCCTTCTTCTTTGAGAGTTTACGTTCACCATTTCGTGGTGGTGGTAGTATTCTACCTTCGTCCTGGTCCTGACCATTTACATCATCTTCTTCTTCATCATCTTCAATGTCTACGTTCACATCGAGAACAATGGACTCTTCCACAACAGCACGCCAGTCAACCAAAACCGGTACACTTGTGTTGGGAGAAACTACACATCCTGTTTTTCCTGCAGTAGTGCCTTGAGGGCTTAAGCGCAACGCAGAGCTGTTGGTATCAACTCCCGCCAATCCCCGTTGTTCCGGTTCCGGTTCCTGATATGATTGCGCTCCTGTAAAACCACACACTCCCCGTGGTGGAGTACACCGCTCACCAGATCTTGCGAAAGATAAATTGCCTCCGCATGGTACAACCTCAGAATGGTGTATGGCATTTCTATTGTAGTCATCATGAACATCCCTAATATCATATTCTGGGCATAGAATAGTAGTGGTGTCCTGTTCTTGTTGTCGTTTCTCTTTTGATGGGCTTATACTTGCAGAAACCAAATGTGGGGAGGCCAAACAGCTATTAAATCCTTCTGAGGGTGGAGTCTTCATAGCATTCATTCTGCCAGACGTGTATACTATCTGTGTCCTTCCTTCTTTACATGGTAAAGGTGTGGGAATGCTCAGGCTGCGTGTCGCACCATTCTTTTGCTGCTGCTGCTGCTGTTGTTGTTGTTGTCGTTGCTGTTGTTGCTGTTTCTGAATGTCCATCACGGAGTTGAGAGTGTCTGTATCATTATCAGGCAAAGGTGAAGTAAGTCGTTGTCTTCGAGGGTGTTCCTGCTGCCGAGCATGCAAAGTAACCTGGGGTGACTCAGCAGCGTCGCTCAAATCGCGTAGTAGTGCATGTGGTGTATTGAGCATCTCATTCTCTATGACAGGCCGTTGATCAGATGAGGGGGATGGAAGAGAAAAACAATAATTGGTTATGGGCATCCCACATCCTACCCGTTCTCCTTCGTTATTCTCTTCATTTTCTATTCTTCTTCGACATGTCGCTCTCTTAAGTCGCTCAGTGGCGCCTATGGTGTTTACTGGGGTTCCTTTAAGGCCAACATTACGTCCACTACCCCCTTCGCCATCAGACATCAGTGTCGTTGCAGCGCAGACTATAGGATGTGCTTCAAGGCAAGTGGAGAGATCCGCATTCTCTGTATTCATGGCATCGATGTGTACAACACCAGTATGAGTGGTATTCTCACTGTCAACAAAGTTGTTGTGGCTACAAACAAAACCTCCACTGCATGCACCACTGAGGCGAGCACGTGGTGCAGGAGTAGGAATACTTAGCTCACTCTGTGGACTGTCTGCGATTTGCTGGTTTTGGTGTATTGGTTGTTGTAGTAGTTGTTGTCTACTCAACTGCGCAGGTGTTAGATGACTAGGGTCACCCATCTCTAGCGAATATGAAGAATAGTGTAGGCCAACAAAAAAAAAGAAAAAAACTTTACCAAGTCCAAACACACACACACATACATTTCTAATGTAATACAATGTACATATATACATGGTTGTTCGTGTCCATACATCTGCATAGATACGAATGATTAAAAAAAAAAATAAAAAAATAAGACCTTCCTCCTCCTCCTAAAGGAAAAACAAAAACTGAACAATAAATAAATAAACAAATAAAGATATCAATTGGTAAAGCGATACAGCTACAAAGAGATGCGCCCAGGCACAGACACACTCACCCACTCACTCACACAGAGAGAGAGAGAGAGAGAGAGCGATACATGTACACATTTGCATATACACGTATCAACTAGAGTTCAACGAGACTCGCAGTTGCTGTGCCCGCCGACCAGCAGCAACGTCACCTAGTGCATGTGCTCGTTCGAAAAGCAACAGAGCCTCCTGTCGCCGTCCGAGCAACGCCTCTAACAACACAGCATAGTTGTACATCGTCATTGCATCGTGTGGGTCACGTTGCAGCGACACTGTGTACCAGGATGCCGCAGCTTCGTAGTCACGATCCACTGCCTCTGCAATGTATGCCCGTGCCCGTGCGCCCACGGCGTCGTCCATATGCCGTTCATACACAGCGGTCCACACCCGTCGTGCTCCCTCAATATCGCCCTGACGATATAAATGCCATCCATACGTGACATCTTCCTTGGCGAGACGAGTCTTTTCCCCAGGCATTACACTCGTCATGCGACTGCTACCATCACTGATATCACCACCTTTCTTTGGATAACTCTTATTACTTCCATTGTTGTTGTTGCTGATGATGCTGATGTTATTACCGTATTCATTAGTACTGTAATGGTTGCTATTTTTTCGTACGTCTTCAGGTCTGGAAGTATATTGTTGTTGTTCTTGTTTTTGTTCATCCTGCTCTTGTTTTGTACCAGACACTGCTGCGAGGTATTTCGCGTACAGACTGTTTGAGGTGTGATTGGTTGGTGTTGTCTGCACCTCTGTAAGGCGACTAGGAAGACGAATACTGCTGTTCTGATGACTGTGGCCACGATTCAAAGGAGTTTTCACTTGTGCCCCACCGTCATCATTACCATTACTTCTACTGCCTTCATATTGTGTCCCTGCAATTCCCCCACTAGACGGGTATCCTTCCTCACCCAACTCCTCCCTTAACTGCTGCAGTGCCTTCTCTGTCCGCAGTTGCTGCAGTGCGGTGAGAACGTGCAGTGGATTACTCTGTTGCATTTTTGCCGCAATATTCCCTGCGAGTGCTGCGGCCGCTGCGGCCACTCGTGCTGCGTGTCTTTGTGCCTCCGCGTGTTGTTCCGCCTGTTGTTGGGCGGCGGCGGCGAGTTGGCGGGCGTCGTGTTGGCCGGCGGCGAGGGCGGCGCGGGCGGCGGGGGCGACGGCGGCGAGTGGCACCACCGGCCGGCCACGATAAGGGCCCAACACCACACAATCCCCGCAGACAAGAACACCACCACCCACCATTCCCATTCCACCTTCATTCTCATGATTCTCATAATAATGATGATGCGGAGGAAGGGGAGGAGGACCTTCATTCTCACCAGGGATGTAGTACTCGAGCGGGCGAGTAGGATGAGTAGGGCAGGGGGCGATGCTCATGTCTACACGACATCGCAATAAATACCGCGGCAGCAACTGCGCGGAATCATACACCGCCACCGCAGGACCCGCCACACCATCTGTGAAGACACAACAATCCCACTCACGACGGAATGCCGCCGTGGCAGTTCGCGCCGTTTTCATAGACGCTGGACAGACAAATGGTTTGCCAACCACAACATCGCAAATAAGAATACAGGTGGTGTGCTTGCCGTCCCAATTCTGAAACGGTCGACGGTGGAACACCATACAGGGGTTTCCACCACTATTACCATCACCATCAACATTTCTCGGACTACTTCCAGTATTGTCAGCAGCAGCAGCAGCAACAACAACACCATCAGTATTATCACCACCACTCGCAGCGGCTACATGAGTAGTGTCAACGCCGTAGCTAACGATGTTGTGTAGACGCTGGTAGTCACCAACAATAGCAAGACGTTCTGTCGCACGCTGATGTGCTGCAAGAAGACGGGAGTTAAAACAACTTGCATGCACTTTATTCATTACAGATACCATATCCATTACCTCCAAGTTCAGC